AAAAAAAAAAAAAAAAAAAAAAAAAGATATTCTGAGTAAAATACTTTCCAATCGTGTTAAACTATTCCTTTATTAAAGATTACCTTTTTATGTGTTTTTAGATAACAGTTTAAGGCCACCAGAGAAAGGTCACCCTTTTTCTGTCTTTTGTGCATCTTCGTCATTTTCTAGCTCTTTCATCTGTGTTTTGTTTACACTTACTTTCATTTTTGTTGGTTTGGTTTTGGTTTTTTGGTTCCAGTAGAAAGGCAGATGCAATCCCCTGAAGATCTTCTCAATCCCATTCTGTTTCCTCCCTCCCCAGAACCAGGCATTTTTCCAAAGTGCCTTTCTATGGTTTTAAACTCTCATTGTGCATATCTCTATATGTTAATCTGCTTTTATTGCACTCATATTCACAGGTAATATGTACATTATGTTTATGTAAAATTGAAGAAAGTTAAATCATATTGTATTTCATTAGTATTTTTTGTTTGTAGTTTTACTGTCTTAATGATTTCGAATTTTTTCTCTGTTGATAGATGTGAATCTTGTCATTTCAGTAATTATTTAGTAGACAGTTGTGTAACTTTAACACAGAGTAGCTATTCCTCTGCCCATGGACATTTCACTTGTTTCCAGTTTTTGCTGATACAGTCATGCACTAGCATTTTTGTCCCTTGTCTCATTGTGGACCTATGTTACCATTTCTCAACCTCTGTATTTAGAAACAGGATTGCAAGGTGGTTGTACTTTTGTAATTGTTGCCTTCAGATGTGGATGCCTCATAGGATTTTAGGTAATAGGATGTACCTATGCTTAGTGTAGATCATCACTGACAGATTGTTCAACCAGCAAAGGCTGAGAAAAGGAGAAATATAATTATTACTAAACTTATGAACTTCCTTGCAGTATTTGAAAATGGCAAATAACACCAAAGAATTGGAAGATTGTGAGCAAGCTAATAAGCTGGGAGCGGTTAACAGCACCTTAAGGCAAGTTTTATTTCAGTAGTATTAAGAAGATACTCTCTTAGTTTATTTATATTAATCTTTTTCTTGTGATTTTTAAT